TACGAAAGTTGAAAGCTTGTTTGTACGGTCATGGACATGTTGCTGATTGATCGTATCCTTTTCATCTGTTACCAGGATGTGTTAGGTGGAATTGGCTTTCAGAAATGCATGCCAAAGGTTTTAGTGTTCGAGTCTGGGTCACGGCGTTTTCCAGTACATAGTTTAATAATTGAAATAGCTTTTGTTTACATGTATAATGTTTAAGCGCAATTTGCCATTAATGTATTGCGTGCTTTGTTTTAGTGTTTATAGTTTATGTGCCATTAAACATTTTGGGCTTATGATCTTTTGTTTATCGGCTCACAAATGAGAGAGGAAAAAAAATCCCCCAATAAACAAAGCAATGCCATTATTGTTGCCGTAAAACGTTCGCGATTCAATATAATTTCACGAAAACAAATACGTAAACTTCACGGTCATTATTGTTTTGAAGAGAGGCCAGATCGACTGCATACAGTGCGAGCAAGAGGGACGCTGTGTGAAAATTAAGCCGCGGGCCTTGGATTAATAAGTTGTAAGTCACAGGATTGGCAATTTCAATCTGCATCCACCACAGCCAAGAACACGATCTCGTAGACGTAGCTGCTTCTGGCTTCGGTTAAAGTGGCTTGGTGATAGAAGAATTTGGTTACACATTTTCAGCGCATGAGCCTTCTGGCAGTGCTCCAAACAATGTTAGAGTAAAAGCACATAATGTTAGATTTGAAAAAAAAATATCAAAATGATGCAGCACATCACCTCATGTTTGGTTATTCAGTCAAAGAAATATGTATATTATCTCAAGGCACCAGTAAGGTGTTACTGGTGCATGCATTTCACCAACATATTTTGAGATTGTGACAAATGCTGGCCAACAATGATCTAGATTGTACAAGATCCAGCGCCATCCTGCGAAATTAAGTGAATTTTCCCATGTCCATCATTCTCCAAGATGGGCACACGGTTTTTAGATTGGAATGCAGCCCAGACTGTTCCACAATACAAGGCACATCTAATTCAACATGACCTACAGTAAAATGAAATAGCATACAGTTAAGGCCATCGCTAACTCAACGGGGCCACATTTTATTCCCCCTGTGAATGCTTTTAAGCTAATGAACGAAATGACATGCCTGTCCAATGCAAGCTGCCTCCTGCTGTTTTTCGAACAGATTTACGCAATTTTCCATTGACAACTCCGCCGGATAGTTTGGGCTGTTGCCTCTGACTCCACCACGGGACCTTAATCTGTAAACAAAATGTGACCCTCAAATGTTCTGTACACAGGAGTGTCAGCTTAACAGACGCATGACGTGAAACACTATACCTCTTCTTAAACCATTTTTAGCTAAGGGGCGATTTCGTAACGCACGCATATAATAATAAAAATAAAGCTAATTGCCTGCCATAGCGTTATATACCGTACAGTGTATTGGGGTATATAAACACAAAATAAATTATTTTGATTTAAAGCTTTCGTGACTGCAGTGATTCATATTCTTGGTTCTTTCGGTAAAGTCACGTTGAAGGGAAACAATAAAATAATATATATAAAACAATAAAATTCTCACGACGTTTCGACTGTAACACGTTGGTTTTCACACCTGATGATGACAGCTTGTGTTACAGTCGAAACGTCGTGAGAATTGTATTGTTTTATATATATTATTTATTGTTTCCCTTCAACGTGACTTTACCGAAAGAACCAAGAATACAAAATAAATGATCAATAACAAACAAGGTGCTGTAAACAATAAAAATGTAATTTAGCATGTTTATTCTAAGAAAGGGGTGGAGCTGCGATGCATGAGGTTCATGCACTGCGCTAAGCTCGATTCCTGGTCATGATTAACACAGGTGGTCAGAGATATCTGATTTGGTCTAGGCTACACCCTCCTGACCAAAGGGCACTGACCAGCGTGATGACGTATGGTTAAACACCTCTCATGATAACATGGGACAAGGGGATATGCAATATAATAGTCGAAAATAAATATATGGACTCTTGTAAATGTTTGACGGAAAAAAATCAAAGTCCCTCGTGATAACATGATGGTGACTCATTGAGGCTTTCCGAGAATGAATAATTATAACTCGACTATGTTTTACAATTTGGCAGGTTGGTATGTGCCTCTGTAGATGTGTAGGCTTTGACTTTAACATAACTATTTCTATGACCAGTCACAAGCTAATCACTCAGCTATTTCAATGCTAAATTCTCCTGTTTGATTTGTACTAGGTGCCTCTGTGAATGTGTATGCTTTGACTTTAACATAACTATTTCTATGACCAGTCACAAGCTAAGCCCTCAGTTATTTCAATGCTAAATTCTCCTGTTTGATTTGTACTAGGTGCCTCTGTGAATGTGTATGCTTTGACTTTAACATAACTATTTCTATGACCAGTCACAAGCTAATCACTCAGCTATTTCAATGCTAAATTCTCCTGTTTGATTTGTACTAGGTGCCTCTCTGAATGTGTATGCTTTGACTTTAACATAGCCATTTCTGCGACCAGTCACAAGCTAATCACTCAGCTATTTCAATGCTAAATTCTATGCTAATTCCTTTGTCAAGGCGCTCTGTTTCTTCTCACACAGCTTAAAGGTCGCGGTCTGAGCTTGGCTGTGTTCGCTCCAGCGCTGTCCTCCAGACAGTCTCGTCCCTTCACCTGATGAAGGGCGCTTGTGTTGTGGCCGAAACGTCGTGAGAATTTGATTGTGTTATTTTATTTTATCAATTTATTATTATTTTATTCTCATTCTACGTGACTTTACCGAAAGAACCAAAGAAGATGAATCCTTGCAGTCACGAAAGCTTTAAATCGAGACCCGGAGATAAATTAATGCGACCACAGGGAGAAGATGCAAACTCTAAATATGCTGGCGTCAGGGTTGGGATCGAACCCACAACCTCCTGTATGCCTGGCGAGGCAGTTAACATCTCGCCAGCGAGGTGCCCCCTATAAAATCTTTGAAGAGACAGACGTAAGTGGAGGAGAAGGCCACGAGCAGGAAGTTGACAGCATGAATGATCAGAGGGAGAGGTTCCAAACTACATTGGCAGCAGTAGTGACCTCCTGCGAAGGGAATGCTGGCAGGGGGCTTTAATAGAAGGCATTGTTTGCTGGAGCAGAGAGCACATTCATGGGAGTGATATGAGGAGAAACGGGAAGGCAGGGTCAAGTTCACGGGGGATCCTAAAGGCAGTGAGGGTGATCGTGTCGTTAGTCCAAGGACCCCACAGTTGAGGGAGCCAGCTGAAGGATCTGAGGATGTGGGTGTTGTGGTCGTGTTTACGTGCGTTGGTGGCAGAACATGTAACAAGAGTAGTATTGCGACATCTTTCGGGACTGTTCTCAGACCCACGGCGGTGTATTGCTTGATGCCAACATTCCCAATAGAAATGCAATTCTCAAGACACGATGCTGACAGTACAACGTAAATGAGGGGGGTGGGGTGGGGGGGCTAACAAACAAATGGAAAAAGAGAACAAAAAACGGGATTGTCTCATGCACTAACTCATCCCTGTCACAGGAATGTCGAATTTCGTACACTGGCCAAGGGGTTGTAAATAATGTTTGCATGCACGAGCGGAAGAAAAAAACCCGCTTGCAACAGCCTCCTCTGCTGATGAGACTTCCCATCAGTTATCATAACAAATAGAGCACATGTGGTAGCCAGAACATTGTGTCGAGGGAGGGATACGTGTCGAGGGAGGGATACGTGTACATTCAATTTTAGGACAATACATTGTCTAATTTCCAATTTTAAGATAACCCATGCTAGTTTAATTGGGACACTTCACACTCCATTCTTTATAGTTCTTTTGTAGTATCATCTTCCCACAGGCAGCCACACACTTCACTTAATATTTAATTTTTCCATCCGCTTGTTACGCCTATTTAAATGGGAGGGTTATAATTCAGTAACTCGGCGTGGGGGGGGGGGGGCACAACACAGTCAATGTTAAAAAAAAAACTTTAAACAAATGTTAGAATGAGTAGATTTTTTTGTCTAATGCATTCTGCTCAAGTGCTCACCCATTATGTATGAGGCAAGGATGTACCAACATCTCCCCCCCCCCCCACGGGGTTGATTTGACACGAGCAGTACGTTTGTGTGCGGTATTGCTTTCTGTGTTGAACGAGGTCCCCCCCATTTGAGGAGGAGTGCTCTTGCAAATGACATCTGGTAATACAGCAGCAGCAGCATGATGAGACCCAGAATGTCGAAAGCGGTCCAGAATCTATTTGCTTCAAGGCATGCATGCTGGTAATGTTGCTTTTTCAAAATATAGGCAGATTAAGAACCCGGCTACAGTCTACATTCGTGGTTTTATTAATTTGTTTTTTTTATATTTTTATTCAATTTATTATTATTATATCTAAGTGACTTTACCGAAAAAAAAACAAAGAATATAGGCAGATGTACTAAAACATTGATTGTACATGTACAGTAACATGTGGATACAACAATTTTTTTATGTTTTGCCTTCATTTAATTGCAACCGTAAATTGTTCTTTCAAATTAACCGTTAGCAGAAATTAAAATCCTACCCCCATCCACCACCACTATCACCTACCTCCACCATCACATACCATCACCATCACTGCCACCATCCCTCACTACCACCACCACCACCAACAAGAACAACAACCGCCGTTCACCACTAAGTGGCGGAAACGTCATCAAGGCGCTTGTGCCGTGCTAGGTGCACTTTGAGGCCAGGGGAAGTGTCGAAGGCTCCCTGGCAGGAGTTCACGGGACAGAACCCCAGGTGCCATGGGGTTGACTCCTACCACAACCATCCCCACCACAATCTTCACCATCACCCCCGCCACCATCCACCCAGCTCCACTATCCCCCTCTCCACCACCCCACCACTCGCTCACCCAACCCCCACCAACCACCACTAATTCCCCCAGCAACTATCACCACCCCCCTCCCCACCACGAACCACCACGTGCTGGAGAGAGAGAGAGAGAGCGGGGCGAGACCGAGCGCACGGTTAGTTGGGGTTCGGGTGTAGCGGTGGGGGTGGTGGTGCAAGGGGACAAGTGGAGAGGGAGGAATGTGGTTGACCCAATGGCGAGGCGGCACCGAAACACTCATCACAACAAAGCGCGCGTCACCGCCACGTGTGTTATTCCGGCAACAAAGTGGCCCTCTCTCTCGCTCGCTCGCCTCCTTCAAAAGGCGCAGGAGCGAGCGCAGCCCAGGGGCACAACGCAATTCAATTGTGACCGAGAGCCAACGAACGCTAACTAGTACTCCGGCGTGTTACTTTTGCGGTTCGGTTTAAACCGCCTTTATTTTTTTGTTATTTCTTTCTCTAGCACGCGCGCTCTCGCTCTCTCTCTCTCTCTTTGTTGCTGTTTGACTTGTGCGGTGGTTTTGTTGAGTTTTTTTTGACAAAGGGGAAAAGATGCCTTTCTTGGGTCAGGACTGGCGGTCTCCTGGTGGCAGCTGGGTCAAGACTGGCAGTGGATGGAAGAGGGGCAGCCACGACAAAGTCAACGACATCATTAAATTCATGTGAGTTGGTTTTTATTTTGTTGCTTAAAAATGTTAAAATTAATTCACGGCGCGCAACACTCTGTAGCCCCCTATCCTGTGTAGTAAATGCGTCACGCCTTGGCCCTGAATAGTCGCCCGGGACGCTGCTTTAAACACGTGGCATTAAGCTTCGTGAATGAAGGACGAAAAAAAGTCTATGAAGTAACGGCCAGCCGCTCTGTCATGGCAATATAAGAGCCGTCACTCAGAGCCATATAAATATATTTTTTTAAAGCGAGGGACCTCGTGTATAATATCTGACAGCTCACCGGCATAGGTTCGAGCAAATCTTTGACCGTGCTGATTAGAACAATTGTCAAGATGGGGTTGCACGTGTTGGAGCCATGCATGAATGAGTGCACTCCTCGAAGGCCGTGTGGCTGACAGGATGTGTGAAACATACTTTTGGGGGTGTGCGTGCGTGTAGTCTTGTGAAGGGACGAGATGTGTGCTCTTTTTCTTTACGACTTTGGAAATGTGTTGAACCCAATGTGAGTGACGTCATAGTCGTACGAGCCCTCTGTGGTTGGTCATAATTCATTCCTTGGCTAACAGTGACTGTAAATTACTCATACTCTTTGGTTCTATTCGGTAAAGTGACTTTACCGAATAGAACCAAAGAGTATGGATCCTTGCAGTCACGAAAGCTTCAAATCTAGAATATAAATTACTCATTTTTTTCTGTTTCCGCCTGTTTCATGGACGTTTAAAAGTCGCGCGAAACAACACTGGACTTCAATTACGATATCATTTCATATTCTTGGTTCAAGAATATGAAATGATATCGTAACAAAAATATATTGCTGTGGTTTTCACACCTGATGATGATGATGATTGCTTGTGTTGCAGTCGAAGCGTCGTGAGAATTTGATTGTTTTATATATTTATTATTTTATTGTTTCCCTTCTATGTGACTTTACCGAAAGAACCAAGAATATGAATCCCTGCAGTCACGAAAGCTTTAAATCAAAAGATATCATTTCAGTTCAGTTTCATTTATTTGGTATAGCCCTGTGAGCCATTCGGCTCTTGAATCGGGTGCAACCGCAACAAACAAAAAAACACGAACAAGAAAACATCTTCAGTAGTGATGGACAACTAATGAAGGCTCTCAATGTCCATTTAAATTCTTATACATTTTACATTATTCGCAAGTAAAAAATACTTTTGTCCGTTTAACAACACGTGCTCGGCACAATTAAATACACACAGTGTACTCTATATCACACACGTGCATCTTATAAAGATTATAGGTGGTAACCTCCAGCTAAAGCTTAGGTGCAGTAGAGGTGGTGTGTTGCATTTGGAATCTTGTTAGTAAGTTAACCTGCAGATAGATTGTATAGGTAACCTGTAAAGGTAACCTCGGGTGCAAGCAAACTACAGATCCAATATAAGTAACATGGACGTGGGTAGCTTGTTTAACTAACCTGCATAAGTAATCTTGGGTGCAGGTAACATTCAGGTAAAGGCAACTTGCAAAGGTAACCTGTGGTGGTATAAGTTGTATCAGTAATCTTGCATGTATAGGTAAGTGGAAGGTATTGTGCGGTTAACCTCTACGTAGCCTGGGGGATATAGATAACCTATCGGTAAACCTCAAGTAGTTAGAGTTAATTTTGTTTAACTAGGTGAGAACCAGGCAAAGTAGCCTTGGGTAATAGATAAACTGTCAATAGAGGTAATCTGTATAAGTAACCTGGGGTTGTAATGAGGGTATAAAGAGCTTAAATGGAGAACACAGGACAGTACAACAATTGATTAATTAAAAAAAACGTGTTTACCATCATTGACAACACCAAATATATTGTCTACAAATTTAATGGAAAGCATGTGACACCAACACTGTTGCACTATAAACAATATTCCACAAATGTGACCTACCAGTTCATGGGAATGCCACAGCTTGAGTTATATTAAGGTCTCCGAGACTAGGCATGCAGATGTAATCAGCATATGCCGTGCATGAATCGGTGTATGCGTCATGAACTATAATATAGTAATTGGCCCACGATGTATTAATATTGTCTCATCGCATCACTGTTGCTGTAAATCAACGGTCATTACTCTCAGTTTCGCCATTTGCCAGGTATATACAGTACAGTTAAATAGGAGCATGCTATTCTTCAACTTTGTTTATGAGCAAAAATGTCTAAGTGGCATGTACGATTTTAGACCACTGTGGAAAAATAACATGTTGTTGAAGGTAGTGGCCAATATGCAGCCAATGCATGTGTGCTAAACATAAAATGGTGGTCGTTTGATAGGTATTCCAGATACAAGTCAACTGCACTTTAGTCAATGTGCTTCTGGTTTGATCCCATCAACAAATGCAATTTTTGTGACTGTACTGTGTCTACAATTGCTTAACAACATGTAGCAAGTACTGCGTTATTTCCCAATCCAGAGGAGGCAATGTGGGCTAAGTAAATACTGTAGGAACTGCGAATGATTAATGAAACACTGACTATGCGTGTGTGAGCAACTGGTAGAATTACAGCACAGCACAATGTTTGGTTTGTTATTAACCTGTTATAGTTCATTATGGGTTTAGCTTAAGAAAAATAACACACCATCCCACCCCACCTTCCCACACCTGTGTATATAAGGAATGTTGAGCAATACACTGCATTTTTAATGTATACCACATTCCAGCAACATTCGATGACCAGCTAGCCTGAGGGCATAATACTGCCACATCAACTGCAGATGGTTCACTGATGGAATTCATGCTTTCGGACAGGTCATTGGAAGAATGTGGCCACCAGATTAATGCCATTCAAACGACTTGCATTCAGTAAGCTCCCACATTAAAAGACAACATACCTGCAAGTCAATTTTATCCCCACTCTTTTTTTCTCGTCAAATAAATGTACCCCGATACAGAATGCAAATATTTATTTAACGCGAGGACCCCCAATTGCCGCCTTGTAATTGTAAATGCAAAAAAGCCGTAGCAATAACAAGCGGTGTTAACGTTTTAGAGTTACCTCTCATTGAACTCGGGTGTTTTTTGTCCCTCGCATATATACGGGCAGGCCTGTGACAGGTCTGCCCTCCCCCACCAGTGATGGTATACAGATTGTGTGTGGCGTGTAGCCACTTCACGACTAGGCGCTACGTGAGGAAAGGCAGAGAGACGTCGGTGCAGCCACCAAGGCGAATCAGACGCTTGGTTTATTGGCGATGAGATTAGGCGTTTTTGCTCTGGGTTCCATTGCAAGAGAATAACACTTGTCATTCGTTAGCAAGAGGACGAGTCCCTCCTGAGTTGTGTTGAACGTCAGCAGTGTAAACTTTGTGTTCAGTTGAAATGGTAAATAGGTTCTTTTTGGCCAGCATGATTAATGGCTTACAACGTATAAGTGTTTACTGTATGTGTGATGGACTGGAAAACACAATATTTCCCTCCCAAGGCAGCAATGCCAGGAGAATAAAAAAACGATGAAGAAAACAAACGGAAAGCAGATCCAAGGTGTTGGCAAAGAGAGTGCTAATGATGACAATACGTTTGCATAAGGTTGTCCAATTTTATATATTGAGTTAATTATTTGATATACATGATGCGTTGAATTAAGCAAAATCACACGAGCGCTTCCCGCTCAATTGAGCATCGATGGCACTGGCTTCCTGTTTACAGCCCTGAAACAGTCATGGAAATTCCACATTCCTGTGGCGGGGATGAGTCTTGCGGACGACAACTGTCGAGGTGCCCTTTATCGACCCCTGACGCACGAAGGGGCCATTGAGAGCCATTGCATTTTCACTGCTGAACCTTCCCATGGGTAGCAAGTTGCGTACAGCATAAACAAAAAAACCACACACAAGAGTTGAATACGGCGCTGTACGGTGGCTTCATTGGACCTGCATTTGCATCGTCGCTCGTATAGGTGTTCTTGCCTTCACCTTTTTTTCGTGGATACATTAAATGGTGGTATAATTGATCACTCAAAAATCTGGCCACGAATCCGAGGTAAGTTCGTGACAGCCCCTTGCCAATCCACTGTCGGATGACGCTGCGGGTTGAGGTTTCAAACTCGGTTTGCAGTCGTCCTCGCAGCGGAAGTGCGCTAACCATTGCGCCACCGCTCCACCCCACAAATATGAAAAGCTGCAGGGAAAATCGCAGAGTCATGATTCACCGTTTCACGAGTCTCAAATACAAAAATAACTTTGGACTGTAACTCGCCTTCAGTTTTATCCCGACCGTTTGCTGCCTTGAAATAGCCCCTGGTAACAAGCCCGAGGAGCGGGGGCGTGCCATTCATGCGATTGGTTTGGCTTCTCGCCAAGGAGGGGTGGCCGGAGATAGAGCGGGACCTTGGATGTCCCGGTTTCATTGACCAATACGTGCCTAACCCTGTTACCTAGTGTTGAGGGGTGATGGTGAGGGATGAAGAACTTCCAGTCGTGGAAGTTGTTTTGTTGTTGCGTGCCATCGTTGGGCGCTCAATGTTGAAATGCATAAATGTTTTGGTTGAATATTTTTATTTTTTCTGCAAGAGGTGTCTTAATAGCTTTTGAGGGATATGCAATGTTACGATTTAATTTAGTCCCATTAAAAACCCCAAAAATCTATGTTTAGCTAATTGATGAAGAATAACATGATGAAGGCAATAAGGAATCGAGTCTTAAAACACTAAATTCCAAATACAGCACAGTATTTTAGAGTACTCTGTATTCTGTGTGATTTGTTTTCATTTATAGTTTTATAGTCGCAAATTCCTGGCTCCTCATGAACAACAACACAGTTAAGCCATTTTTAAACAACGCAAATCATAAATACACTGGTGTTTACAATTTTTACATGTAACAATGTATTCCCTCAATCCCAATTCCAACGATTGAACATTCAGTTTATTATAATATCACATTCAATATTGTGATATCCATCATTGCACTGTTAATTCTTGAATGGATGTTAAATACGCTCACAACGAAAATGTAATTAATTAGAAACCTTGTGGATGTATTGTATAAATATATAGTAAATAAAAGCATGGTTCCTGTTAAAAGTGGACAGTTTTTGGATCAAACAGCTGGTCTTAGTATAAATATTTAACACTCTTTAAGGTAATAAACAGTTCACCTCTGAATTTCCATGCATAAATACAAAGGGACATTGCCAAAAATGTCTGGCCTAACGTGATCACAGAATTGCTCTGCTTGTTTTGACAGGTCTCAAGAAAACAAGGAAAACTCTGTACAAGAACAGGACTTTGAAGTTGTCGTGAAAAAAAAGGCGGAAGGACATGCTAAACAATACTGCCAAGACACAATGTACGGAATATTTGCCCACTCCTATGAATGCATCGAATTGTAACGCATATGATAGTGGAAGCGACCTGTAATGCGTACAAATGTCACGTGTTTTCATAATTGATAGATGTCCTTAAAGTGGTGCTTTCTGCAGTTGGTTTGTTGAATACGTACGATTTTGCATTTTTGTTCCCACCAAACAGATTTCCATAAGGATAAATGGATATACGTTCACAAGGGGAGCACGAAGGAGGTGAGCGTTGTCTGCAAGATCTAAACACGTTTAAAACATTGGATCAACTTGTACTTAACTGTTGTAAAATAATGTTGTGTAAGAAGAGTCTGCAATGACATGGTGGAGTGGTTAGCGCATTTGCCACTTGTTACAGAGGTTTATTGTTAGTCTGGGGGCAGAGCAGGTAAATATTGCGGGCGTAGTAACTATGCCCCCTGCTGGCATACGGTATACAATAGTTCATCTGTGATAGCCGTGCACTATAAGAATATCAGTCCTACGAAATATACTAATTATAAAAACACATGTGGATCATTTAAAGCCCTCCGTCAATCCATTGCTGGATGACGGGCTCCGATGGCTCTCGATCATGGGAGTTGTTTGACTGTACTTGCCACGCAAGTCAGTGTGGGTTGTTGAAGGGTGGGAGGGAGGGCCCACCAGTTCAGATATCCCTCGCCTGTGATGTTGTCTGTGGCCGGGAATTAAACTCGGGTGGCCAAGTTCATAGCGCAGTGCACGAATCACTTCGCCACCACTCCAGCCACCCAACAGTTACATAAGCAATCATAATTGAGCTGTGAACGATGACCAAATAACCAACTTGTCTATTAATGTCAACCGTAAAATATGTTTGTGTTTTAGCGTCACGGCTACTGCACCCTGGGAGAGGCGTTTAATCGACTCGACTTTTCTGCCGCAATCCATGACAGACGGCGCTTCACCTACGTTGTACGGGTAAGTGCAAAAACAAGCTGTGAATGATTCATCCAGTATGGGGATGGCCAATGTTCAGCTACAAATTTAGACGCAAAAAAGTGGCCACGGCACTGTGCATTTAAAAATCCCAGTATGTTCGCATAAACTGAGAACCTTCCAAAACATTTTAAAATCTCTTATTTTATGAAAAGAGTATAGCCAGAAATGCTCGCTGGATGCTTGACTTTGATATCGGCCTGCCAGCACTTGCGCTGTGATAAAAAAAAAGTGGTCAAAACAGCTGTTGCTTTTGCTTGCTTGGATAGCAGTGTTGATTTCACAAGGTTCACCTTACCGTCACGTGGAGTTGTGTAACCTGTCACCCAAGGCCAACTCACTGCAGATGTAGGCGTTGTTGGTGATTGTGCGGTCGCCCTGCCACATGCTCCACAAGGCGTGTACATGGCTTTCAGGGCGATAGGTTTTCTTTTGCTGGATATGAGCACATCTCATACAAAGCGCAGTTCTAATATAAATAAGCACGTTCTTGCTGGTTGGGCAGGTCGAAGGGCAACTTCTGATTTTAAAACTGCTTTGGTTGTAAGCAAGGGGTGTACTCACATCCAGCTTCTACTGTATTAGATGTTTTGAAACTACGTGTTGTTCATAAACCTCGCTACACATTTAATCACCTAGTTTTACCAAAAAAAACATGAGAGGCACATTACTTTTGGCAGAACATCACAATCCTGATTGGCTAAATTCACGCTGCATTAGCGGGTTGGCACAGTAATGTATTTGTTGCATATTTGTCGTGTTTACATTGCCACGTGCACTAATCTATTGGAATTAAGTAAAGGAACCGTCATACATATTGCAAGAGTCAGTATGAACGTTCTTGCATGAAACGTTACACAAGTCGATGTTTACATTGTAAATTTACTGTAAATGTGCAATAACAAAACTTGTCCGGTGGTATTTTGCAATTAAGAGATTACACACATTGCTTCGGCCACCTGGAAATGCTTTCATTGTTGGTGGTTAAAACGACACCTCAAGCTCGACAGCGTTGAGTAAATGTCGAGTGGATGGCATGGCGAAAATCCCACTGGCTAGCTTGAATGAGACTCCTGTGTTGTCCCCATGTCTTCCGTTTTCATTACTCCTGGCAACAGCTGACAGAGGATATACCAGTCCAATTCTATTTCTGTGTTCCGCATGACTGTCTGTAATGACTCGAAATTGACCGGCAAGTAAACACTTTCAGAACCACGTGACTTACCCGGCACTGGTGTTGCTACGTGTTCAACGAATTAATAAAATATATATGCGCGCAGTAGTACGCAATTTCTACATTGCACATAGTCGAAAGGAATGCAGCTCTCGTGTAGTATTTAACATATTACAGAACAACTCTTGTCCGCAACCTTATAACCCATGAGTTTACCCATTACTCTGCGGTTCCATACGTAATTTTATCTGCCACGCTTTCGCACAGATACAGTGGAGTAAATTCGCACGTAATAATGTGGTGGATAATATGATCCATGAGGTTTGTCCCTCAGATCACCACAGAGGTTTTGGTCAAGGACCTCTTTCCACAAGGGAATGCGTCTATGTTGAATTTCTTCGTTCTTAGTTAGCATGTTTAGGCTTAGTTGGAGAATTGAACGTGTGGTCATTTCGTACGCTGAACAATTCTAAAATTATTTACGTGCGATACTTGTTTTTACATTTCACCGGCTATCTGCCTGTTGTCATGGAATGTTTTTCTATGGGCTCGCATTTTCCATCTAAAATCTAGGTGATTATTTTGAGGTTATGGTGGGCTGTAGGAAACCTAAGCCTCCCACCGATTAAAAAAAAGTGAGTGCCATATTTAGTGGTCTTATATATTATCACTCCCAAGTGTCGTGCTATAGTAGGCCATGCTATTATAATAATAAGCTATACTGGAAAATAAAAACATTATTCTCAGGATTCTGAATTGGTATTTTTGGCCAATTCCATGAATGAATGTCTGTCATGTGAGATAAAACCACATAACCAGAGAAACCCCATGCACAAGAGAGGCTAAAACTTAAAGCTCTGTAAAGATAGAAAGAAGATGTTGCTGTTTGTCTTAATTATCAGTGCACTGCCATCTCCTGGCCAACTTTTAGCCCTAATCCAAAGTAAGATTACATTATGCTAGAGGATTATATTTTTGTGATTGTACCAGTTTATTATTTATAGTGTATAATGCAAAATATAACTGTCAAACTTCAGGTTGAACTTATATCACATGCGTGACTAAAAATAAAAACCATAGAACGGTTTCGAAAAAATAATGTAAATTGCCTAATGACACATGTGTCCCCCACTTAGTGTTCAACATATTTAACTATGGCTTTAAGCTTGAACTATTCGTTCATAATTAACTGCATTCATAACAAGTGTTTACTGCACAGGACGAGCCTACTCAACCTATTGCACGCTGTTTTATTCTCTGAACGAACTATGGCATGTGAAATATATCAAGAACATTATTTCACCAAACACACGAAATAACAACAATTATAACTGCAATTAAAAAAAGCTCCCTTTAAAAAAAGTATTTCTCACAATTGGCACTCAATCCTTACGGATATGTTTTCTCAATTGTTGAGCGATTGTAACAGCTGCAGAACCTACAGAGTTTGGTGGTGGTGGTGGTGGGGGCGTAGGAAAAGCCTTGAGTGTTATTAAAGGAGGATACAGAGATGCGGTCAGTGCTGTGTGTGTATGTGTGCATTCACTGCTACTACACCACCAGCGGCGGGCTGCAGTAGTGATTTTCCACGTGGCATCTTGGGGCTAATTTTGTCCTGGCAGGTGAGCCGTTAGTTACTGCTGTTTGGCTTTCGCCATGTGATGCAGCGGGAGTGTGCCACACCACAACTCGTGGTCAGACGTGGTGGGGGGGCGAGGGAGGTCGGCCTGGGTGGGGGGAAGGGGGAGATGTGAGGATTCTTGTCAGGCTGAGGCTCTGTTGACATTTTCGTTTGGCCATGTGTAACTGGAATGACATCGTGCAGCAAACAGGGCTCGCAGCAATGCCATAAACATATCGCGTTTCAGTGCCAGTGGACCTGCGCAAAGTCGGGTTTTATAACCGATGTTTTGTCGTGGCAGAGGTACTTAACACTTTTGTTTTTTTTTTGCTAGTGAACATGTTGATAATTTATGGGCTGATTATAACTGCATACTTGGTACAAACATTTATACGGCGTCCTTCCCTTGACACAAACATAAAATGCACTGTTTCACCGATACCGCATCGCGTACACAACAGTATTTCGATTGTAAAAGTATGACATGACGCAACATAGTCACTGCAGGAAACTTTCACTGCGGTGTTTATACAGGATAGCAACTGCCTGCGGAATTATCTTCTGCGTAGCTTGGTCACGTTGCTCGCGCGGCACGAATGCGCAACATATATGAACGTACATTTTTAGATGTGCCATGCAGTTGTTAAAAAATAACCATCGCAACGGAGTGCCGCTTTTCTTTTCTCAGCTTCTGCAGCTGATCGCGCAGAGCCAACTGACCTCTTTAAGTGGGGCCGCGCAGAAAAACTATTTCAACATTCTGGAAAAGATTGTTAACAAAGGTGAGTGAGCGTGGTGTGGCCTTTAACCGTTGAAGTGCACAGTTTGGGGGGGGGGCACATTGTTTTAAAGGGTGACTTGGCAGATTGTTCTGATGGGGGGGGGGAATGAGGCCATCGGTGCTTACCAGAATTCTTTGGCAGTCCACTGCAGTCTGCATTTGGTCAACAAATGGTATCTGTTACAGTGGCTGTCCCTAATGTTTGGCCAATAAAAACATATATATTCGGCCAATATGAGAACAACAACTGGATTTAACTTTTTAGGAATTTTAAACACCCATTGCAGATGCATACGGCAGATATATATATGTGTTATTAGCTATATTGCAATTTGGACTGAGATATTTTATTGTACCTCTATTTTCAGGTTAGTTATAAGGCCATTGGTCAGTCATTCTCTTGGACTCACGTTGCTAGTGGTATTACACTCCTCTCAATGTTCATAATAAAGTACGCTCCTGATTTGGCCAACTAACTTGGTCAACGAAAAAGATCGTGAAATACTCAAATCAAATATTTTTACAGATACGGCGCATGAATTTCAGTATCCCCCAAAGATCTAACGGCTACAGTTTTGAAAACATCAACTTTTCCGCTCCGTTGGGTGCACAATAAAGTTTGTTTAAACTATCATTAAACTGTGCTTCGCCAAATAATCATGGCCATTCCTTGCCTAGGACTTCGTCCAAAGTATTCAACAAAGTAGTTTTAATTAAAAAATAATATTGCATCTTAGCTGCTGTCGGAGGACAAAGACGGAAGCGCTTGCCAAACTGCCTGCGTTGTGTTGCGTTCCATGCGATGCAGTGCTCAAGGACCAGGAGAACATCGCTTGATCAAAGAGCTCCTGCAGGGTCTGCACACGTCCCTGTGCCAGCTGGTGGAAGGCGTGGGGAAGTCTGTGCTGGTGGGCAACATTAACGTGTGGTACCTTCGCATGGAGAGCATCCTGCAGTGGCACTACCAGCTCAAGCATATTCAAATCACAGCCGTGAGTAACCCTCCCGTCTCAAATCAAGTGTTCCCTTATGAGTGCTTTGAAGAGTGTAAACATAATCAGAATATTTATCAAAATATGTATGTTGGAGGAATCCGATGCGCTAGAAAGCTCTTTCACAGATGTCCAGCAGTTTCACAGATGTCCAGTAGAACAACGCTGTGTGGGCATTTAAGCAACATTTATTGCCCATCAACCCTCCAGGGTCGAAAGAATAAGCATCAATTAGTCAGGAAGTCAACCGTGGTTCTCTTGTCAATAAACTTGCCCCCACCTAGGATAGAGGAATTTCCACCACTGGCTCGGGCTGTATTAGAATCAGAATCTGTGTTTATACTGGAGGAATCTGATGAGCTATAAAGCTGTTTTCAGACGTCCAGGAGGGGCGGATCAGAAATATACAATAACGAATTATTCGAAAACACGATGGGAGTGAAAAATATAGGAAAGGTAAGTAAATCAATAATAATATATTAATGATTCATTTACCAGGTAAAGCCCACTGACCTATTAGCTTCGTTTTCAGAAGCGGCCTGGCCAAATAATTGAAATGCATGCTGAGATTATGAGTGGTCTTTTGAGCAGGAAATCACTGACACTTTGGCTTCAAACTACTAATAGCTCTCTCTGATAGTGCATATACTGCATGTTGTCCGACTTGGTATCCAGCATTCCGCTCCACGTTCTGGGAGCTTCTTTACGAACATAATTGAAATGCCTCGCTTGAGCCGCGAGGGAAAAAAGTATTTAATCCTCTGCTGATTTTGTACGTTTTGCCCACTGACAAAGAAATGATCAGTCTATAATTTTAATGGTAGGTTTATTTTAATAGTGAGAGACAATACAGTGAGGGAAAAAAGTATTTGATCCCCTGCTGATTTTGTACGTTTGCCCACTGACAAAGAAATGATCAGTCTATAAATTTAATTGTAGGTTTATTTGAACAGTGAGAGACAGAATAAACAACAACAAAATCCAGAAAAAACACATGTCAAAAATGTTATAATTGATTTTGCATTTTAATGAGGGAAATAAGTATTTGACCCCTCTGCAAAACATGACTTAGTACTTGGTGGCAAAACCTTTGTTGGCAATCACAGAGGTCAGACGTTTCTTGTAGTTGGCCACCAGGTTTGCACACATCTCTGGAGGGATTTTGTCCCACTCCTCTTTGCAGATCTTCTCCAAGTCATTAAGGTTTCGAGGCTGACGTTTGGCAACTCGAACCTTCAGCTCCCTCCACAGATATTATATGGGATTAAGGTCTGGAGACTGGCTAGGCCACTCCAGGACCTTAATGTTCTTCTTCTTGAGCCACTCTTTTGTTGCCTTGGCTGAGTGTTTTGGGTCATTGTCATGCTGGAATACCCATCCACGACGCATTTTCAATGCCCTAGCTGAGGGAAGGAGGTTCTCACCCAAGATTTGACGGTACATGGCCCCGTCCATCGTCCCTTTGATGCGGTGAAGTTGTCCTGTCCTCTTAGCAGCAAAACACCCCCAAAGCATAATGTTTCCACTCCATGTTTGACGGTGGGATGGTGTTCTTGAGGGTCATAGGCAGCATTCCTCCTCCTCCAAACACGGCGAGTTGAGTTGATGCCAAAGAGCTCCATTTTGGTCTCATCTGACCACAACACTTTCACCCAGTTGTCCTCTGAATCATTCAGATGTTCATTGGCAAACTTCAGACGCGCATGTATGTGCTTTCTTGAGCAGGGGAACCTTGCGGGTGCTGCAGGATTTCAGTCCTTCATGGCGTAGTGTGTTACCAATTATTTTCTTGGTGACTATGGTCCCAGCTGCCTTGAGATCATTGACAAGATCCTCCCGTGTAGTTCTGGGCTGATTCCTCACCGTTCTCATGATCATTGCAACTCCACGAGGTGAGATCTTGCATGGAGCCCCAGGCCAAGGGAGATTGACAGTTCTTTTGTGTTTCTTCCATTTGCGAAGAATCGCACCAACTGTTGTCACCTTCTCACCAAGCTGCTTGGCAATGGTCTTGTAGCCCATTCCAGCTTTGTGTAGGTCTACAATCTTGTCCCTGACAACCTTGGAGAGCTCTTTGGTCTTGGCCATGGTGGAGAGTTGGAATCTGATTGATTGATTGGTTCTGTAGACAGGTGTGTTTTATACAGGTAACAAGCTGAGATTAGGAGCACTCCCTTTAAGAGTGTGCTCCTAATCTCAGCTCGTTACCTGTATAAAAGACACCTGGGAGCCAGAAATCTTTCTGATTGAGAGGGGGCCAAATACTTATTTCCCTCATTAAAATGCAAATCAATTTATAACATTTTTGACATGCGTTTTTCTGGATTTTCTTGTTGTCATTCTGTCTCTCACTGTTAAAATAAACCTACCATTAAATTATAGACTCATCATTTCTTTGTCAGTGGGCAAACGTACAAAATCAGCGGGGGATGAACATACTTTTTTCCCCTCACTGTATATACAGCACAGCCACGAAAGCCTACGCAGTAGAAACTAATCTCTCTCTGTGGAAGACAACATGGCACGGCCTTCTCAGTGCCCTCTCTACGTACATTGCCCAATCATTGATGTGCTCGTGCTCCGCCATTGGTGTTTTATTACTCTGTGGTTCTATTCGGTAAAGTCACGTAGGTAAAAAATAAAACAACAAGAATCACGACGTTTCGGCCACAACACAAGCGGCCTTCATCAGGTGAAGGGATCAGGCTGCCTCGAGGACAGCGCTGGAGTGAAACACAGGCACGCTCAGACCGCGGACCTTTAAGCTGTGTTGTGAGCAAACAAGGTGCCCTTGACAAAGGAATTAGCATAAAAAATAGCGTTTGATTGGCGACCTTTAGAAAAGAGGTGGTTGTACGTGCGGTGGACTTGCCGTTTTGGCGCGGGGGTGGGGAGGGGGAGCTTTACCTATTGATGGTGTGAAAAGGGAATTTATAAGAGCTGCGAAATTTTGGGGTACATATACTTGAAAAATATACTGTACCATTGAAATTAGTTTAATGTTTAGTTCGATTTAGAACATCTTTCCAATGGTTGCTTAATTTGAAACCATCTTCTCCGTTAGAATTGGTGTTTTATTATTCCGAGATTCGTATGTTGGTAAATGTTGCCCGATTCAAGTACCAATGCACACTTGTTTTTTTAAAACAAATGCGAATAAATCAAGCACAGATTTTGACTTATTAAAAATAAATATCCACGATGGTTATGTTTTACAAGCCACAGTTCCTGGCAGTGAAAGAACATGGGAGTGGGGTGGGGTTTTTTTTCTTTACTTAAAGTGGAAACAGATTTTGGTACAAAGGTAAAGCAATTGAAAACATGCTAAAATAGCATTAATTAGAGATACCCTTTCTTCATTCTTTTTTTTCTGGAAGGGGATAAAGCGTACAATTGTTTAAATAGTTTTCATTAGTGAAAGTCTATCATCAATGAAAAATTAAGCGGTGAAACCAATATGTGCTGAAATGGGAACAACCTGCAGCTTGATGTACTGCCCTAATATAGTCATGCAGAGTTCAATGCAGAAGCATTGGCTATAAACACTTACAGGTTTATAACAGCAAATATTTCTTTTTTTTCAATACCCAATGAATGCAGAAACGAGAAATGCCAAATCTGCATTGTTTCCTTATGTCAGGTTTGGAACCCATTATCGTAAACCAAGACTGATCTCACTTGTCTGAACTGCCACATGCATTATGGTTTCAGTAATTCGGGACAGCTTTTTTTTTACAAAACAATGTATATATGGATATCAGTGGTTTGCAAAGTTAATTTATGAAATATTCCTGTTATGTGAGCAACACAAAATGAAAGCTTTATAAATAGTTGTCCAGAGATAATTTATTTCAGAAAATCGGCACGTTTATTTTTCCACATTGACTTGAGCTGCGCATTTTTGCCATATTCTTTTCATTCAAGTAATTTCTTCCTTTCTGCAATTGTTCGCTTCCAAGTGAGCACCAATTATTTAGCCTGGAACTCAATGTCAGGCTCGTGTTATTGCTACATTTTTTTCTTTCCACCAAAGTCCTCTGTACCTCATATCTAGGTACAAATACTGCTGACTTCTGAAGCATAGGAGCACTTTTGCACGTCTAGAATTTCAAGGGCAAGTTTCTAAAATCCTCGCACCTCTGCCCACCCATAAGTATACATGGTACGACTACAAGTTAGTCGATTGGCAGGTCACGTGCAGTGGGTTAAAGTGTGGGCACTGCCACTTCTTCCAATGTCTGGTCAGCATTGAAGAATAGGCCAAACTACTCCCAAAACGGTTCTTTCCAGAGCTTCCTCGAGTAGAGGCCCTTCTGTTAGCAGTGTGGCCATGAGCAAGGAATTGCAGGGCTGCACATTTACCCTTGTGCCTATCTCAAGGCAGCTAAAGACTGAACAATGCAACCTATAATATTTGTTTCTTGGTAAAAACAATTCTCCTTGCAATGCTTGTCTGTTGCATTTTTAGCCCTAACGCTGATCAGAGCACTGCCATTCTGTTTGTCTTCCCTGGCTCAGAGAGAAGATGAAGGTCTGACTCTAGTTGACCTCCCAGCTGACATGCAGCTCAATATTCTGCGGCGCCTGGCTGACGGGCGCGACATCCTCAGCATGGGCCGCGTGTCGGCTCGCCTCAGCGGGCTCTGCGAGGACCGCCTGCTGTGGAAGCGCCTCTGCCAGTACCACTTCACAGAACGCCAGGTACAAAAGCCTCCTTCCAGAGGGAAGTGCTAACTGCACAAAATGGTGTTCCCGCGAGCTTGGTTTTTAAGGGCCTAGTATGTCGTCTTCGTTCTTTCGGTAAAGTCACGTAGAATGAGAATAAAACAATGAAACAAAATAAGACAATAAAATTCTCACGACGTTTCGGCCACAACACAAGTAGCCTTCTTCACTTGTGGCCGAACGTCGTGAGAATTTTACTGTCTTATTTTGTTTCGTTGTTTTATTCTCATTCCACGCGACTTTACCGAAAGAACCAAGAAGATGAATCCTTGCAGTCACGAAAGCTTTAAATCGAAATTTAACGGGCCTAGTATATCCTTAGCTCTTTCGGTAAAGTCACGTGGAAGGGAAACAATAAATAATAAAATATATATAAAACAATAAAAAATTCTCACGATGTTAGCCAATGGGACGTGCAATCCAGAGGTCGACCGGTTCAATGCGATCTCGTGGCTGCGGCAGGTGAAACATTGGGCAGGTTCTTGAATCCACTGAACTCTGATCACCCAGCAGTGTAAATGAGTGCACTGCAGTTAGCGATTGGCTAAATTTCCCGTGGTAAAAACAAAAACAACAACTCGGTAGTCCTATTCAATCACAGTAATGGCAAGGGTGCAATTATTTTTTTGACACCGCTGCTGGCAGATGGGCTTCACTCGATGAGCGCTCGAGAGAGGATATTTGGCCATCGTCATCGACCCCACAATCCTCCAACCAGGATCTGACCTACCGAGGAAGACCTGGTCCTCCTTGAAATCGGATCTGGACACTCCATGGAAGATGTGGACACTTTCTCCATTGGTAGAAAATTAACGAGAGTCCAGGTTTTGACTGTGGTGGTGCGATCATCTCAGACGGTGCAACATACCGTGAACGGCCGCCCAATCGGATGGTTTCAACGGCGATCTGAAACCAAATCCCCGCGCGGCCACTCTCGAAGCGCTCAAATAGCTATCAAATCTCGACATCAATTTTGAAATCTGTTGCAACCCCCAAGAATGCTATGCGAAAGAGGAGGGACAGCTGGCAAAGTGTGGGGTATTCCTGCCTCTTCCAAGATGTCGGGCCAGTATGGAAGAGTAGGCCAAGTACCCCCTAGAGGGGTTCTCTATAGCGCTATCTCTGTCTCGTGGACTTTTGCGAGCAGTGGTGTGAATACATCATTCCCGAGCTGCAAGGGTGGTTGAAACAGTTTATTTTTTTTCACATGAGGTTTTCGGGTACTGACATGTTACTCTTTTGTTTTATTCGGTAAAGTCACGTAGGTAAAAAATAAAACAGCAAAAATTACGGCGTTTCGGCCTTCGTGACTTTACCGAATAAAACAAAAGAGTATGGATCCTTGCAGTCACGAAAGCTTCAAATCTACACTACATGTTGTTGAATTTTGACCCAGTCTTGAAGTGTGGCCTGCACCACGTAGTCATGGCAAGGTGTTTTGTATTAACCAGCACCCAATGCAATCCACATTGGTTATAGCTTCCTTTAGAATGCTCGCAGAGGTCCGCCGTTGATTGTTTAGTTCATTCGTGTTACTTTTGATGTAAATTCTACGTGAGCTTGGGGAGGGGGGAGCTTTCAATTCGGACAAACAGGTGGGTATTTTTTTCGTCGTGTTTTTTTGGTCCAAAAATAAAACAAAAGAATGTCCAATGAGCGTGCGTTGCACAATGTAGTGGACTTCAGTGTTGTAGCTGGACACGATGTCCTTGTCATGCCCAGTGAGGTTTTTTTTTCCCTCCATTTTTTTCCACGGTTAAAATTACACAGCTGTATATGTCACTGCTAGTGCCTCGTGCGAATGTGCTGCTATTACCTTGTCTGCCACATGTGATGTTGTAAAGGTTAGCTGCTTTTGATTAGGACTGCATAATTGCATACATACTATACATAATGTCTATACTATAGCGGTAGCTATGTGACAAGTAAGGCAAGGATTTGTTCACGTCTGGAATCGAGGCCACATTAAAATACGTCTAAATGGGGTTTTTTTGTAGACTGCTTTGCAAACCTTAAACTCAGAACATGTTTAGCTTGTTGCTTACTCGCATATGATAATGATTAACTGGTCTGAGATAAAAGAAAATGCCCTTGGTGCAGAGAACAATGAAGTACAGAATTCAAAATATAAGGTCTTCAAGTGGACATTTTCACAGAAATAACTCTAAAGTTCCCTCACAGCGTCGCTGCTTTTATTCTGACGGTGGGCGAGCAGGTATCCGCATGGTTCATTGCGCTTGTCATACAGCCAGTTTGCACAGTCGGTGATTTGAATTCTACAGGGAAATAATTAAGCAAGGCATCTTTTGTATGAAGTAAAAAAAAACCTGAATAATTGTTCACACGTGTGGGTCATTGTATGTAAAGCCATACTTCACATCCCCACATTTAAAAATTACCTGCGATTAAATAACAATGTATTAATACATTTCAATGCATCACGGTAAGGGGATGGAGTGGTGGTGCTGTGAACCCGGCAAGCCGAGTTCAAATCCCTACCATGGCTAACGTCAGCGGCAAGTGATGTCGCAATCGGTCGTGGGTGTTCCCCCTCGAAGTCGTTCTGCACTGACCAGCGTAGTGAAGTATAGTCAAAACAACCCCGTGAACAAAAACCGTGCACATCATTATCACATATAACAGCAAAAATAGGCAGCTCCCCCGTCGCCGGAGGCGCGGTGAACCTCAAAATCCCAGCTCACGCTTCGCGTAATCGAGACCGAATTGCCGTGTGTCCGTCTGTGTTTGCAGTTCCGCAGGCGCCTGATGTGAACGACAAAGGGCAGATGATTGGCAGAGAATGTACTTCAAGATGCAGCGCTGCTACCCCTCGCAAGGAAGAGTATGGCGACACCCCACAATTCTGCCGCCACTGCCACGTGCTCTTCTGGAAGGTGAGAGAGGTCACCACTGGGGTGCGGACACCTGTTGACCCCATTAGCAAGGCATTGTGGACAACCTGCTAAACCTAGCCTTGCCAGCTCATTCTGTACGAGTGGTATGGGGCAATATGATGCTGCAAAATGAGAGGAATGATCGCACGTGCGTTTTTGTGGTTATTCCGCGGAGCTCTCTCGTGTGTTTGAGGGTTGTGCCACGTGTTGTCGGCATGATGTCCGGGAGCTTCTTTTGGAGATGGATATTAATTCAGTTCACAAAGAACGGAATTCAGTTCCTGAAGAAGCTCCCAGCACGTCCGAGTGAAACGTCAGACATTATGCCGAACGAAGCGAGAAACGACTCCCAAAAAACACATCAGAGAGCTAGAACAAGATAATTTCAGACAGATGTTCTCTGGTTTTTCTTTTGTAATACAACTTTATTGGCCAAACTATGAAACTAACCTGATTGCAGCTCACTTTGGTGATTAAATGGACACCCATTAACTGTAAAAAGAAACGAAATTCCCAAACCCAGTGTTTTGATGTGTGTTGCTGTGTGTGTGTGTGTTCTTTTTCAGGACACTGGCCACCCTTGCACAGCTAATAATCCTGAGTGTGCCTACATTCCACTCTCCCCACAAGCCTTCATCAATCTGTTCAAATTCTGATGAAACTGAGGACCGCTGCCCTGGAACGGTGTGCTCCCAATGCCTGCGTAAACAGTGCCAAGTTATACAAACGAAACTTTTTTTTTCAAGAGGACGATTTTCTCAGGGACTAGTAAGGAATGAACAGAGAGCAGAGCGTACTATAAAATAAATGTTGCGTGAGGGATTTGTAAGCGGGGTTGTAATGAACTGCAATCAACTATTCAGTATGCCTGCTCTAACACTTCACATCAACGAACACTCTTCATTGAGTGTTAGTTTATACCACTTTGAATTTGACGAAACTCACGATTTAAGAGAACCGTGTTTTGCGCGTGATCTTGGTTTCAGTTGCACAGATTGATGTGCTCCGTGCTAATATTGGAACCACTCTTGCTTATTAAAAGTAAAAAATAGCTGTTGAGTAGCAATTCATTCATAATAAAGTTTTTTTTCGGTTAGATCGTGTTATAATAAATGTGTGATCTAACCCAAAAAACCTTCATTACGAATAATACTGGTCGCGAAAGCCTACGTGTTAAACTGAGTAGCAATTCAAACGTTTAGTCATTCCAGGTACGGCTTGACCTGGTAAAGGAAACGTACGATTGGGTCACGGTGGCTTGCACATGTAGAATAATAAATTAAAGGGATGGCAAAGACTCTAAAGTTACCACAACAACGAGAACGCATTTTTGACATTTCTAGTTTCCGTGATGAATCTCCCAATTTACCGTGATAAAATGCGCATTAAATTGTGTCACTCTAACCTTTTGGCTGCAATCAACTCCCATAGGTCTACACGACATTATTTTTGTTTACTGTATTTTGCATCAAAGGGCATTTGTCATGCTCGAGATTTTATTCACACAACTCTAGAGATGATCGTTATTCTCGAGGAAGATCAAATCACTCTTCATCAAGGTAGTTTTATTTTCTTAAAACTCGCATTAACGTGGCCATATGTACGAATCTATTCCATCGGGTTGCATATATTGAGCCGAATTTAAATTCTTCCGCGCATCGCAATCACAGCTCGACTTGTGCTATCTGCGCGACAGGAAAGCATCTGTCCAGTTTTGATTTAAAGCTTTCGTGACTGCAGGGATTCATATTATTGGTTCTTTCGGTAAAGTCACCACGTAGAAGGGAAGCAATATAATAATAGAAATATAAAACAATAAAACTTCTCACGACGTTTCGACTGCAACACAAGCAATCATCGTCAGGTGTGAAAACCACAGCAAGAAAATTTTAAGAAAAAAATTATGGCTGTGGTTTTCACACCTGATGATGATTGGCTTGTGTGCAGTCGAAACGTCGTGAGAATTGTATTGTTTTGTCTTCCCTTCTACGTGACTTTACCAAAAGAACCAAGAATATGCCTCTGTCCAGTGTTAGAGGAGGCGACTTGGCACACGTGTCAATGCTGTTTACCGCTACTCAAGCGCTGGGGTGAGGAGGGCTGTGTGCTTACGTGATGAACCAAGATTGCTGGCCCAAGTGCAAACAGGGCTGTCCAAGGACGCCAGAGAGTCGTCTTGTGAAATGCTATCAGACCTTCGCGTCCCTGAGTTGTGGTGTTAAGTACATACCAAGGCCTCGCGTGAATTGCCGTCTTTGTAAATACGTAGCACGTAATAATAATGCTGAGTCGGTACGTTATAGAGGTCAAAGTAGTGGGATTTTTTTTTCTGCTTTTATATATCTTTTAGCACCATACGTACAACAGCTGGGAGCGTGTTTTTATTTTTTTATGGATTTTTTTTTTGTTTAATGATTGTACATTAGCGGTAACACTACTGCGTATGCTTTCTGTATAAAGCAATGCCACACGTGTAACTTATTCTAAATACTTCACAATTGCCAGGGCACTTTAAGTAATCTAGAGTAGTTCGCCAGGTGGTACAATCATTGAACTGATAAAGTAGCAACCGTGTCCAGAGCTCATAATTACAGTAGAATCGGGGTTTTTTTTTTCACTCGGAAGTCTGGTATTGCCCATTCCCAAGGCTCTTAAACTTTTCCTTGCGTTGCTGAAAAGATAAAAGACAAGTTTTGGAAGTCGTTTGGTTTGAGGAAGTAAGCAATTCACACGTAGTTACAGAAACGGTGTGTGAATCGTACAAAGTGAATTGGCGTCATCCATGTTAATACGAAAAAAACTATTTTGCAACTGTTATTTGTGTGATGGGGCTAAAACCTACATTCACATTTAGAGGTTAGTCAAGGTTGTTTTGAGCAGGAGATAAACTATATCGTTACGGCATTATTAAATTGAAAGAAAAATATGATCTACAAGTTGTGTGATTGCAACATGTATTGAAAATGTGTATATTGCATCGTTAGAAACGTCCTAAGTGTTAGATATATTTTTGTCGACCATTTCCTCACCGCATTATAAACGCTTAGTTGTTGAACGTAAATACGCATGTTTCTGAAAATATGGGGTTTGTTTTTGTACCACAATGCAAGGTGTAGCAATATTTGAGTGCTTTTTAATTTTATACGATTTCAAAATTTGTACTTCCATTACAGCAATAAAGTTCTGTAACGTCAAAAAAATACCCGACATTCATTTTCGTGTTCTTTTCGTGTGCGCAGTTTGCTCGCACTCCCAAACGTTTTTTTTTTTGTATTCTAGATTGTCTGCGTACGGTGCGAAACAAGTTCAACGTATATACGCACACGCACCACCAAATTAGCAGATCTTACGATATCGCCCGTCAACCCAGAGCTATCCGTGCATTGTCATTGCACTGTTCATATTTTGGTGTTCTCCGGTCTGACACTGGTGAGACGAGGCCATATCTCTGGTGTAGGCCCAATCAGTGTCAAAGACAATGCTTATATTTTGATTTAAAGCTTTCGTGACTGCATGGATCATCTTCTTGGTTCTTTCGGTAAAGTCACGTAGAAGGGAAATAATAAAAATAAACCATAAATTATCACGACGTTTCGGCCCACAACACAAGCAGCTTTTGCCTCCTTTTGAGGATTTCATGGGGGCCATTGTTTAGTACAGTTTACTAAAGAACAGTCACTACACTTGGACACAAAATAAAAAAATGCTTTTACGCACACGCACGTGGTCACAACACTATAGTAAACAGTATACGCTGGTGTCACAACAATATACTGTAGTAACCAGTATACACGTCACAAACACTACTGTAGTAAACAGTATACCGTGGTCACAACACTATAGTACTGTAGTAAACAGTACACACGTGGTCAACAACACTATAGTTACTGTAGTAAACAGTACACACGTGGTCACAACACTATAGTACTATAGTAAACCAGTATACGCTCGCACGGATGTTGACTATACGAGTGAGGCACGCGGACTGAGACCCGAGCATGGGAGGACGATTACCCACAATCCCGCAGCGAGAGAGAGAGAAGAAACCATTGGCTCAGTGCGATCACGTGACGCTCGGCAGACAAGCGTCTACATCTAGATTTGAAGCTTTCGTGACTTGCAAGGATCCATACTCTTTGGTTCTATTCGGTAAAGTCACGTAGGTAAAAAAAATCACGACGTTTCGGCCACAACACAAGCGGCCTTCTTCAGGTGAAAGGGACAGACCTGTTGGGACGACAGAGCTTCAATAAACGCTGTTAAGATTCGTAGCGCCCTTTTAAGCTGGTTGAGCGAAAGTCAGGCACCCAAGCAGTAGAATTTAGCATTGAAAAAGGTTGAGGGATTAGCTTGTGACTGGTCACAGAAATGGCTATGTAAATTCAAAGCCTACACATCCACAGAGGCACCCAGCACAAATCAAACAATCGAATTTAGCATTGAAATAGCTAAGGGGATTAGCTTGTAACTGGTCACAGAAATAGCTATGTTTAAGTTGAAGCCTACACATCCACAGAGGAACCTAGTACTGGTCACAGAAGATCAGCTACGGCAGAAGAATTCGTTCTGCCGTGTTTCAAATTTGATTTTGTGCTCGCGAATTCGGTCAGAGACATGTCGCTTCGTCTCCCCGATATAGCAATAACCGCAGGAACAACTCAATTTGTAAACCCCGGGTACTGTAAGTCAGGAATGACATCCTTCACCTAATTTCCTCTCACACAGCTCAAAGGTCGCGGTCTGAGCTTGGCTGTGTTCACTCCAGCGCTGTCCTCGAGACAGTATGGTCCCTTTCTTCAATAAGCTCAGCTTATTGAAGAATATATTGAGCATATTTATTATATTGATGTAAGTTAGACTTGGGTTTTTTTCACATCAGTTTACTGTATGATAGTTGATTTGTTGCAGCACCCATTGGCGTCCATGTACGAGGTACCTCTGTGGATGTGCAAGCCTTGAGTTCAACAAAGCTACTTCTGTGACGAGTACTAGGTTGCTCTGTGGATGTGTAGGCTTCAACTTAAACATAGCTATTTCTGTGACCAGTCACAAGCTAATCCCTCAACCTTTTTCAATGCCAAATTCTACTGCTTGGGTGCCTGACTTTCGCTCAACCAGCTTAAAAGGGCGCTACGAATCTTAACAGCGTTTATTGAAGCTCTGTCGTCCCAACAGGTCTGTCCCTTTCACCTGAAGAAGGCCGCTTGTGTTGTGGCCGAAACGTCGTGATTTTTGTTGTTTTATTTTTTACCTACGTGACTTTACCGAATAGAACCAAAGAGTACGTCTACATACTGCTCGTATTTCAAGACCTCGCTCGTTTATCAAATTTTGCTCGTCTTGCAAAACACTCGCAGACCAAGTTACTCGCAATCCAAGGTTTTACTGTACTCTAAACGCGTGTTTTAAATGGGCAATACCGAAGGACCCGGATAAAAATCCACGCGACCACGGGGAAAATGGCACGCAAACACCAAATATACAGCAGGCGTCAGGGTCGGGATTGAACCCACGACCATCCTGTAGACCAGGCGAGGTGGTTAACATCTCACCACAGTGGCACATCATTCTGTACTGTTCAGGAAACCTGGAATAATTTTGTTGCTCTGCCATCTGCTGCTTAACTGCTTAACTGCAAGTTAACACCACCTTGGTAATACATCCAATTGTACATACACGTCAAACTGCTGTTCCAGAAAACACATTCCCCAATCATAACAAAGGTAGACAACCTGTGACTGCCTGCTAATGCAACTGCCGACCAAAGAGTCT